AATATTATGTACCCTGTTGTACTTCTGCGTGTTTCACTGTCCCCTGCAAAATCTGAATCACAATAGGCAATCAATCTCTCACTGTTTTGGCCATCGTAGCACAGTCCATCATTTTTTGTAGATATCAAATAGCGAAACACTCTTTTTACTGTTACAATGTCTTGATTTGAAAAATTTTTCATTTTTCTACTACAGTAATTCACTGCATATGATATGTCTGGTCTGGTCTTGTTGTTTAAATATAATAAACCTCCAACAGCTTCTCTGAATGAATAATTAATTTTTACCATTTTATCTTCTGAACTTATATCTTGTTTGACCATAGGAGTAGATACAGGTTTGGAGTTTTGCATATTAAATTTTTCTAAAGTTGCTTGTACATAATCTTGTTGTGAAAGTATAACTTTTCCAGCATGTTTTTGAATACTAATTCCTAAAAACCTATTAGGATTTTTTTCACTTGTCATTTCAAATTCGGTTTGAAGATTTTTCAATAACGATTTCATTTCTTCTTCACATTTGCTGATCAATAATCCGTCATCTACAAAGATTGCTAATAACATGGTCTTTTCTATATTCGTAAATAAACATTGATCACTAATCAGTGGTTTTAAACCATTCAGTTTTAAAGATGTAGTAAAACGTTCATTCCATTTCATAGGAGCTTGTTTTAGGCCATATAGCGATTTCGACAATTTACACACTTTGTTTTCAGTTTGTTCACACTTGAACCCCTCTGGTACATGCATAAATATTTCTTCTGAAATACTTCCATACAAAAATGCTGTTTTTACGTCAAATTTGGTAACTGACATATTATACTTGGCAGCCAGTGCTAACATTATTCTTACTGAGCTTATGTTCACAACTGGACTGAATGTTTCGTTGTAATCTATTCCCTTATATTGTTGGCACCCTCTTACTACCAACCTTGCTCTATATTTTCCATTATCTTTAACTTTGAATACCCACTTGCTTGTCAGAATGCGATGTTTGTCTACTTCATTTATATTCACGTAACTCCATGTAAGATTTTTATTCAGAGATTCTTTTTCTTCACGTATAGCCTCAAGCCATTTGTCCTTTTCTGGTCCCTTGACTGCTTCTTCATAAGTCAATAACGCTTCTTCTTCAACAAAGTTTACAATATAATCTTTAAGTTTTACAGTTTGTTTTAATTTTCTTCCATTTCTTGTTTCTGCGATGCCTTCTCCTCTTCTTGATTCTGTGATGCCTTCTCCTCTTCTTGATTCTGTGATGCCTTCTCCTTCTCCCAAAATTATATTTTGTACTTCTATTTGATTTGGTTTTTGTCTAATGTCTTGTTCATTTTCAGTTTCGGTTTCTGAATTTTCACCTATATTGTTTTCTTCTAGTTCTGCATTCTGTTCCTGATTTTCTTCGTCGCTTTCTATAACATTTATTTTGCTTGTTCTTCTATAATCAGCCAAAGATTGACTGCCTGGTTCTTTGAAGATAACATCTCGGTGTATTTTTATTTCCTTAGATTTTTCATCCCATAAGCGGTAACCATTTGGTGCATATCCTACAAAAAGATACCTTTTACTTCTAGGGTCAAGTTTGTGTAAATTTCCCAGTGTCTTTGCATATGCTACAGAACCAAATATTTGTAATCTGGACAGATCAGGTTTCATTTTGGTCCAGTATTCTATTGGTGTTTTGTCTATTGCTTCTGTAGGACTTCGATTTAACAGATACGCTGCTACATACGCAGCTTCGCCCCAAAAATCTGTACTTAGCTTGCTGTCAAATATCATCGCTCTTGCCTTTTCCAATAAGGTTCTATTTAACCTTTCTGCTTTTCCATTTAGTTGTGGACTATGGGGTATAGAATAATCCAGGACAATGCCTTTATTTTTTGTCCAGAGTTTAAAATTCGATGACGTATATTCACCATTATTGTCACAACGTATTTTTGCCACCTTTTGATTATGATAAGCTTCTGCTTCTCTAATAAAATCTTTTAAATGTTCTGATACTTCACTCTTATACTTCAATGGAAAAATTCTACAATAATGAGTATAATCATCTAACACTGTTAAAATGTATCGTTTTCCATCCCAAGTTTCAGGATCGATTGGGCCGCATACATCTGTATGTAGAATTTCTAGTGGTCTTCTTGCCCTCTGTCTCGTTGTATTAAAAGGGAGTCTTGTTTGCTTTGCTTCCATGCAGACTTCACAGAAACCCATTTGACATTTCTTTTTATTCAGTTTCATGCCTGTCGATAGATCTATTAATTTTTTTATATTCTTTGTTCCCAAATGTCCTAGCTTTCTATGCCAATCTTTTACTGAAGTATTTTCTGCAAGATAACTCTGTTCCTTACTTTGATTTATACTAACCATATATAAACCACTTTCAATTTGTTTTCCTTCAAGTATTTTTTCATTGTTTTTCTTTATTACTACCTTTTCTTTAGTAAATGTTACTTCACCATCATTCTCTGTTATAGCATTAACCGACAGTAGATTTTTGCTTAATTCGGGTACAAAAAGTACATCATTCAGTATACATTTTTTCATTCTTCTTTGCAACTTGTATGCTACTTTCGATATTTTCTAATGCTGTAAACATCACTTTCGAGTTGACCATGTGGGATGAACATCCTGAATCAACTATAAAATCTTGCGTTGTCAATCTTCTGTCTTCTGTAAGAAAGGCTATCTTCTTTTTTTCTAATGATTTTGTCTTATCTCTAAAAAAACAATCTTGCTCTTTATGATTTGTTTTCTTGCAAATCTTGCATTGGTTATTTGTCTTTTTGGGACAGTTATTTGCAATATGTCCAAAGCACCCACACTTAAAACATTTTACTTCGCCAGCACCCTTTTCTTTCCATTTTCGGCAAAATCTTGTATCATGCGAACTACTTTTACAATGTTTACAAAATCTCTCTGAACTTTTAAATGCAATATCTCTCTCACTTTCCTTGCTACGGTTTTCTTCGGATAGTAACCTTGCTATCAATTTTGGTAAGGTTTTCTCATTATCTTGAGTAGATTCCCAGGCAGTCCTGAAGAAACCATAACTTTGAGGTAAAGATGACAGTATTTTTGACATTAACATGTTGTCATCAACTGTTTGATTGAGACTTTTTAATTTGTGTGCAATACTCTCTATTTTGCTAATGTGAGTAGCCATATCAGTACCTTTTCCAAATGTGTAGCTGTAGAACTCTTGCAGCAAATTACATGTTTGTTCTGAAGTACTTTTTTCGAACATTTCTTTGGAGGTGGTGCAGTCCATAATATGCATCATGTACTTTTTGTCTATTGACGTCACAATTAGTTTTTGCGCTTTTGCATCATTTCTCACCCATTTAGTTTTATCTTCCTCCTTGTCCACACTAGATAGAAGCTTGTCTCCATTTACTATTCCAAACAGATCATAAGCCTTAAATGTTACTACTATTTGAAATTTCCACAACTGATACGTGGTTTCATCTTTAAGTTTTTCTATTAAATTCACCTCTTCTGTCAACGCCATTATTTTTGTTTTTTTTTTCTTCTTATATCACTGTCAAATACGTTTTCTTCCTTTTCGAGTTTTATTTCTCTCGTTAAGGTTCTAAAATTTCTTCTTCTAGCTTTACTGCCTCAGTACTTGCGAGTACTCTGGGCCCATAACCTGTTGTGATTTCGAGTTTTACTTTTACGTCTTTGCTTGAGAAAATTGGAAATTGACTTTTTTAATCATTTTTATTTTTTTTATTATATATTTATTCAGTTTTGTTACATAGCAACTGTTCCTTTTTTTTAAAGATAATTGAATATAAAATTAACACTCTTAAAATTTCATTCTCATCAACATCAACTCATTAACAGGAAACACGAATACGCAAGAACTTGAAACTCTCTTATGTGATTGTGAAGCTTTGCTCAATTCAAGACCACTCACATTTGTCGCAGAGGACGCCCTAGATTTGGTTCCCTTAACACTAAAGATATTTCTTCAAGATATTCAACAGACTGATGTAGCATATTTAGACAACATTTAGGGCATCCATCTTCGAAAAAGATATAGGTGCAAGAATAAATTGAAGATGGACTTCCAGAAACGTTTTCGGAATGAATATCTTGGACAACTGATTTTGAGACAATAGAAATAGAAATTGGTCATTCACGAGGATGAGAGTTTCCGGAATGAGTCAAAGGCGAGTGGAGGAACTCATCCGAGTTGAATGACCAATTTCTCACGAGTTTAACACAAAAATTTTTTGTTCATATAACCAAGAAAAGAAAGACAAAAAAATCAAGAATTATTTTTATTACATTAATGATGACGTGTAAACAAGACATGACCAAGGTAACGCATGGACCAGTTCAATTTTTATTAGGGGTGATAGTGGGGAATTGTGGAGAAAAGGAAATGTCGCGTTCTGATTGGACAAAAGCTGTGGAGAAAAGTGCTCATTCTTCAATAGACTGAAAAATGGTCAATTTTCTCAATCCAAAATGTGGAATGGTTTATGCCCTGAGCCCTTTAATCCATCGGAATTATAGAAAATCTTGAAGTCATAGATTCCCTCATACCCCATATTGTCAACCGAGTCCTATTCTATTATACTTTAGCCATGCGTAATTACACTCATTGTGCACATGCTGGTACAGTGTTAAAGATAAGAAAAGTGACTGCTATCGTTTCAATATTCTTAACTGCAATTAACAGGTTTTATCTTCATGAGTTTCGCAGACATAAAAGTCAGTGATAACTTCCCAGACTGTACGAAACGAAGGTTATCAATCTAACCATGAGCAGGTATTTCACTGATAACAACACATGTTAAGACGGAAGCACCGCCTGACCGACCTTGACGGCAATTAGCAACAACAAAAATACCAACTTAAAACAAACAAAATGTCGAAGAAAACCAAACCAAAACACTGGCACACCGTCACGTGACAATCAGCTGTGCCTAAATAAGAGCCTCCTCCTGCGCCTGCGCCAAGCGCAATTCAATAAGAAAGCGTAGCGACCTCGCGCTCGAGCAGTTGTCTTGTTGCTGTGTCTCATGCTGAACGTACACTATCTTGCAACTGTTAATTTATTAATTTGTTAATCCACGCAATTTCAGCGCGTTTTATCACGCACCCACATAATTTAAACCGCCAGTGCATAAATAGGTCTTCGTTCCTTCATCGGACAGTCATATGTTGAGCAAAAATTGGTTCGTTCGCTGCTACTTTCACAGTTGTTCGTCATGATAGCGGGAGTGGAACCCGTTTTTGCTATGTGACCATTTGGAGTGTTTTAGTGTTTGTTTTGAGTTTTTTTGTTGTGATCGAGTGCAGTGGGTTCGTCCAGTGGGCGTGATTCCACCCCCCGAACTGCAGAACGCATCGTAATCGATAAGTTTGTCAACGTTGCCACGTCTCGCAACCTGAGTGAAGAGGAGGGGCAACAGCGCACAGCTGACCGGGACATCGTACCTTGCCGTGAGTAGACGACACACTTTTACGTTTTTGGATTTTCTTTTTGTTTTTTCGTCTGTGTATTTTGTTACTTACAATCACAGGTGAATTTCGTATACTTTCGTTTATAATTTTATGGAAATGTTATGTGCAAAAGTGGCGAGAAATTTACATTTTTATGGTGTCACACGAAGTCGGAATTTATTGCAAGGACAGGGGTTCGTCCTGATTGTGGCCTATTTAAGTCGAAAATAGAAGGACAACGTACAAAAGTAGGTAACTGAGGTACATTTTTGGTAAAAATAAGGCTGGTAGTTCGAGAAATTACCCTGGAGCCAGAATGTTTGCTTTGTGAATTGGTTTGGTCTTTACCTGGTCTTTATTAAAAAACAAAAAAGATAAAGATATGGGCGAAGTCTAGCATAAGTTATTCCACTTAACTCACAAACAAAGAACCATTTAAAGTGATAATAACTACTTAATAACAAAAAAATCAGATATTCAGTCAGTGATATTTTACCCCAAAAGTAATTGTCTTCTCATTATGAACACTCCTTCCAGGAGCAAACTTCCGTCCTTATGTAATTTGGCTGATACTTATAGAGCTTATAAACTTTCCTTTTATTTCCACGGTTAATTTTGATTTTATGTACATTTGTGAAACATTTTGAACATTGAGTTTTATGCCCATTTGTTCAGATTGAGACGCTATAATATCGAATCTTCGGTTGTCAGTTGACATGCTGTGTTCACATTAAGGTAATCAAAATGGTGATACAATTGGGTGTCATCGTCAATTTTACAATTTTTGGAGCATTGAACAATTCAGCAGTGTATACAGGGTGTTTGCATCGACAAAAAAAAAATGAAAATTGGTCTGGATGAATAGATATCATTAAGAAAAAATGTTCTAATAAAAGTATTTTAGTTTTCGAAATAAAATTGATTGAAAATTTGGTCAAAATAGCATGTACGCTACTGAGTTAATAGTGATTAAAAAGATAATGTGGTTACTAAGAAAAATGTACCATTATAGGTGCATTGTAAAAATTAAAAAGAAAACGTAATCTTCATTGCTTAGTGAGCATTTGGAAATGCTCTTGAAGCGCAGCGTCTCTACCAGGAGGAATTTTCAGGCCGAAGATTGCCTCATCACACAACATTTAGTGCCGTTGTTCAAAGTCTCCAGGAAAACGGAAAATTTCAGCCAAGTACAACGGATCGTGGTCGTGAAAGAACCGAACATGTTATAGACGTGGAACCAGAAATACTGAAAATTGTCGAAGAAAACCCAAGCATAAGCATTCGCAGATTATCATACAGATTAGGAGTTTCTCCGTTTATTGTGTGGCGAACCCTAAAAGAACAAGGGCTTCATCCATACCACGTGCAGCGCGTGCAAAAATAGGGAGCAACCAGATTTTGTGCAGAAGCTTTTGACCACCGACGAGGTTACTTTCACAAGAGAAGGAGTTTTTAATTCTCGTAATACTCATATTTGGTCTAATGAAAATCCGCATACCATACGGGAAACGCATTTTCAAGACAGATTTTCAGTAAATGTCTGGGCAGGCATGGTCGACCACAATTTGATAGGTCCATACGTTCTGCCCCTTCGCTTGACGGCGATTGCGTATTTAGATTTTTTAAACAACGATTTCGGACCACTTTTATTATTATTATTATTATTATTAGTATACTGCCCCTACAGACGAATCCAATTACAGGGACAGAAATATTTGCACTACGTATAGTTGTCACAAAAATTAGATATTTCACCTTAATATGGTCATCTTAATATCACAGTTGCTGCAGTTAAACAAATCTATATTATTTTGGTATAAGTTGTAATTACGACACATGGTGAAAATAGGAGAGAACTTTTGTAAATTAATACGCGCAGTTGGTAAATAGAAGGTATCATTATTTCTAATATGTAATCTTGGCACATGGAAGTCGAGTTCTGCCAATAAACTACTACAGTCAATCGAACCAGTAACTAATTTGTGCAGAAATATTAGTGATGAAGCAACTCTCCTTTGCTCCAGACTTTTTACGTTAAACATATCAAGCAGCGTTTCATGAGGGTAACCTCTGTTAGGATAATGACCAAAACTCAAGAAAAATAAAAATTTCAGAAATCGTCTCTGGATCTTTTCCAGAGCCACCGTATGGATGTTATAGCCAGGCGACCATATTATGTTTGCAAATTCCAACTTCGATCGAACAAATGAAAAATATAAAGGCTTGATTGTTTCAGTGTCCTGAAATTTTCTACAATTCCGTATGATAAACCCCAAATTTTTTAGTGCACTTGACATTATTTGCTCATAGTGGTAAATAAACGTCATTTTAACGTCGAATGTTACTCCAAGATCTCTAATAACATTTTTTCTGCAAACTTGGACATTATCAATATCATAGTCAAAAATTAAAACTTTTGATTTTAGTGAAAAAGTAACTACATTACATTTAGCAGAGTTAATTGAGAGGCCACATTGTTTACTTCTGTCACAAACTAACTGTAGATCGGCTTGCAATTTTAACTGATCTTCCCTGCTAGTAATTTTTCTAAATAATTTCATATCGTCCGCATACAATAATGCCGGTGAAGTTAAATTATCTGTAATATCATTTACAAAAAGATTGAAGAATAGAGGCCCAAGAACAGATCCTTGTGGTACGCCGGACGTAACGTTAATTTCTTCTGACTCATAACCACTACACATAACACGTTGTTTTCTTCCCGTTAGGTAAGTAGCAAAAAATATTATTAAGTTGTCAGAAAAACCAAATGAGCTTAATTTGTCAAGTAATTTGTAGTGGTCCAGTCTGTCGAACGCCTTCGAGAAATCTATGTAAATAGTGTTCACTTGGGTTCCTGCGTCAATATTTTCTGTTACGAATTGTGTGAACATACATAAGTTAGTTTCAACAGAACGGCCTTTGACAAAACCGTGCTGAAGTGGAGAAATATAGGAATTAACATGGTTCATAATGACTGTGTGCAACAAGATCTCAAAAACTTTAGAAAAATTATTAAGCAAAGTAATTGGTCGATAGTTCTCAATATGCTTTCTGTCACCTTTCTTAAAAATTGGACATATAATAGAGTCTTTCCAAAGAGTAGGGTATTTACGAACCGAAAGTGATAAATTGAATATTAGAGACAGAGGATGGGCAAAAATACTTGCGCAATCACGCAAAATAAAAGCGGGGATTCGATCCGGACCTGAAGTGACTTTATTTTTAATTTTACGTAATGCTTTATAAACTTCGTCTTCGCTAAAGTGATTTATATTAAAAATATTAGGGGTAATAATTTTTGACTGTGTTTTCATATTATTAAAATCAGATTCAATATATGATTCCTGAAAGAAAGATGCCAACGTGTTCACAATAGGTTTAGCACCCAATAGCTCTGTATTTTGATATGTCATAATTTTTGGAAAATAGTTCTCTTGTCTTATACTCTGTATAAACGACCAGAAATGAGATGGATCAGTTTTTATTTTATTTTCGATGTTATGTATATAGTCTCTATGAGATTTGCAGATTTCATTTTTTATTTGAAGTCTTAAGATTTTGAATTCATTGTAAGCATTTTGATCTCTGTGATGCTTATACTTTTTCCATAACTTAAACTTTTTTTTTATGTTACTAATAATTGTATGACTATACCATGGAGGAAATTTCTTTTGTCTAAATCGATTAGTTAAAGGTACTGAAACTTGGAAAATACTATTTAGTTTGGTGTAGAATTGCTCACATGCAATGTCAACATCCCGACAGTTTTCTAAAAAAGACCAGTTAATTTTGGATAAATCGTCGAAGACTTTTGTTTAATAGGAATTGTGATTTCTAAGCTGGGATGGTGTGAATCTTCTTTGAGTAATATATCATGTGCCCTATCCACGTCACTCTGTATCTGGTCTGACAGGACTAAATCCAGTAATCGATTATTAAAATTTAGTATTTTATTGTATTGAACAAATTTTGAAACTTGCATAAAGTTAACTAAGGCATTCGTTCTTCCATCGGTAGCTTGAGAATTATTCAAATAATTTATGTAGTTTGGGATGTTAAAATCACCTACAATAAGAATATTGCTTCCTAGAGTTAGGCAAAGAGAACTGAGAAGTTCGAAAAAAAGATCTACATCGTCAGCAGTTGTACGAGGCGGGATATATATTAAAATTATGTAAAAGATAGAATGATTATTTGTGATTTTTACTACCAAAACATCAATTGTGGATACTGAATTAAAGTCTATACCTTGTGTGATGACAAGACATGAAGGAAATGAACTGGAAACTGCGAGCAACACTCCTCCACCTCTCGAGCAATCGGTTGTGAACTTTCTATCTGCTCGATATATAACATAGTTATCATTAGAAATTTCTGAATTACTAACTGTGTCATTTAAAAATGTTTCTGTCAACGCTATTATATTATAATTTGAGTCTAAAATTGAGTTATAAAGTTCCGCTAATTTCGTGTTTAAGCCTCGGACATTTTGATAATAGATGTTAATATTAAAAGTGGTATTTGTATTTGTATTTGTATTTGGAGAAAAGATATTTTGCATCTCGTAAGTAGTAAAACAAGAAGATGTATTTAAATTTGATTGCTACAAAGACAAACCAAACAAATCGTGTTTGAGTTTGTTTACAGTCTGTTGGTATGTATGACAGTTATTGTAGTCCCAGGCTGCATGATTTTCGTCGATAATGAGATCTCCATTTTTTGCTTTAAAGTTGATGCAGTTTATACATTTCAAATTTTCAGCAGAACATTCACCGACTACATGCTCTTTTGCACAACGTGGACAACAGATTTTATTTTTACAATTCGTTGATGAGTGGTTATATCCATTGCATCTAAAACACCGTGTTATTTCGATAGCACTATAAATTGAACAGGTATCAAGACCTACTAAACAATGTCCAACAGCAACAGCCTTTTTATAAGTAGACATGTCAACTTCGATTACAGCCTGGAAAGATTTGTTTTTTTTTTTACTG